TTCGCAATCAACAGCATTAGAGGAACTGAGGAATGACCATTCCTCTTGAAGCTTGGCTAGTAGTTACGGTTCAATTTTGCAAATTCTGCAAGCTTGATTGTTCCAAGATTGATCAGCTGCACAGGCACAGGACGCTCTATCCCTCTTCTGACGTATTTCTGCATTCTGTCAATCACTGCCGTTTGCCGACGTCTGTCCTGAAATTCAATTTGAAATTGAGAAGTCAAATGTCGTTGATACTCTTTGAGACTGGAAAAATAGATAGGCGATGTAATGGGGAAGAGATTCTCCTGCTGATTGTTGTGTGCACACATAAGAACTGCGTAAAACCGAGCGATAAGGGTAAATGTCCCGCCGTACAGCTCCGACTTCACGTTGTTGTCAAGGAGTGCTGCTCCCACAAAATTAGTCAAAAGGACCAATGGGTTGGGTACGCCAGCTAAAAATGAAAAATTACAGCGCTTATATTCTGTACAGATCGCACTGTATACTATCTTGCAGCCGAGAGTGAACTCGCCAGTTTTCCTGTAGAAATCAGTATAAATGTGCTCGCATCAAGGTAGCAGCGAGCGGTCTTGCCAAAGTAAGGGCATAATATAATCTCGGGACGTTGTCCAGTCCGCTTGCCGAATCGGCAGAAAGCCTGGCCTTGTACGGAAGTTGCAAACGTCTGAATGTTTGTGTCATTCTTGACATGAAATGCTCACATCTGCAGTGGAACGAGACACACCAATGTCTTCTCGCGGACCTAGGGCGTTGAAATGACGTGAAATATTCAAGATTTGGAGGGGCGTCAACATAATGTGTAGGTTCCGGCATTCCAGGCGGTCTCGCAACCTGGGGCCAGTCAGCTTCTGTATTAGCCGCACATACTAGGAGGAAATTCACGATAGAGTTGCCGCAGTAAGCCAATTCCCGATGAGTAAGAAATCGTTTATTACATACTGGGCACATGACATTCAGTTGAATGCAGTTCCATGAACTACGAGAATTACTCATGCCTTAAAGTAGTAGGACACTATATAATACCTTTTTGTGCACTTCAAAGCCTGCCTTTGTAGGAAATACTTTGTTACACTAGTCACACGACACCACTTCTGCGTGTTGAGCAGTTTTGATGCGAGTCTTCTCGCCCATAACCTGTTCTTCGTTCCATGCATGCGCATTTCGCAAATGCTTGTAGAAGGCTTTTCGATTCACGGAAGCCCTATTCGACGTGCCACACACTCGCCATGCATCGAAAAGAAAGAAAACGAAATCAAAAAGGTGGTTGTACACGTGGGAAATGGGGTATGCATCTAGCGATTCTGAATATTTATACTGTAGGCCTTCTACGCTCTCTTTTGACATTGCCCGGCAGCGACACGTCAAACTCGACTGAGCGAGTTTCTAAGTGTTGCGCGTGAGATAGGAAGGATGGTACGTGACCACGTCCGCCACAATATAATTTCCGCCTGTTATTGTCCAAACGGCATTAGCCGAACACAGCTGCTTTGCTGTAACTCAACTAATACAAAAATTCGCTCGTCGCGGGTACCCATTTGAAAGTTTGCTTCAGCTGCAGCATGGTTATCCCCCCCTACAGAGCCCATATTTCCATCTAGAAAGCTCGGTAGGCCTACACCCCTTATGTAGTGAATAGGAACTGCAGCATGGAGACTCTGATTAACACCTCCATGGAATGCGCCATGAACACTTCTTTCCAAACGCATCACTCTCATCCGAGAAGCTACGCCCCTGCTGTACTAAGTGCTGATCTTCGAAAAAAACGACCCTCCCACTAACTAGGGAGCCAAATGCGACCCAACCCGAGGATCCCGCGAGATACGCTTGACCTTGGTCTAGAATTCTTCTTGATGGCAGTTGCAAGAACCGAACAACTTTTTGCTAACGGGCTCAGCCTTGCCGCTGTGGTCTCCACCAACTACACTGTTTCTTCAAAAGAGGTGATAATGAAAAGGAATAATCAGAGCGTTCGTCTAATGGCGCACAAACGACTCACCTCCTTATTCGAGTGACATTGATAGTGTATTACGAGCTCCGGATTCATTTTCGGAGCCGCCACTGGTTTTGCGGCCAAATACATAGAATCTCCCATTTTGGTCTGGTTCGGCTGTTTGCAGCCTTTTTGCTTCGCCTTTCTCGCCTGTAACTGAAGATCCATTCATCCTGAAATCCTTAATTTCTGACACTAGATAAGTCCGCGCGGTCGCCGCGCGCGAACATTAAACACTACTCGATAAAATGGAGTCACTTGTTATTTCCAGAAAAATTCACTTGTGAAGGGAATCTGCGGAAGATGTGAGAATAAAAAAGAAAAGTCAAGGTTGGATGATCAAGAACTCGCCAAATGCTGCTATCAGTAAACCTAGGCATAGTGGCGTGAGGTTAGTGGAAACCTTTCATCGGCTCGCGTACGCTGCCGCGAAATCGCCTTTATCAGAGCCATTGAGGATCGAAGCGGATTATAACTATTCGACGACATTCTCCGCTACCCAACTGAATTTGACATTAGACTCTGAATCTCTCTGTCGGAAGCGACAGAAAATTCCTTTCATAACAGTTGTTGGAGCCTTGCTTTCGAGTTTTTTTTAAGGGAGAGCTCCGATCAGGATCGAAAATTCTTTTCTCGTTTGCTCTCAAGCTCAGCTGTGATCTCTCATCATGTCCTCATCCATCCCCCCGTTCCATCCTTTTTCATGATCATCATATCTCCCAGAGATGTTCATTAAAAAGCAAACTGTCCTGAAATAACAATTGCTCCCTCTTTACACTGACACATTTACTATACGCGTGCGCAGTCACCAAATAAGTGGCGTCAGATAACGAGTAGCTCGGTTGTCTGAGACGGGTGCCGCTCCAAATTCCGCTCCCCACCCCCCCCCCCCCCCTCCTCTAGGCAGCGTGGGCGTCCTCATTAAGGCCCCTTGCCACTACAGTATCTTGGCACCATCGAACTATCAGTATTTTACGTTGCTACATTGTACTCGCGAATACTATTCCGTTAGCTGTTGGTTCAAAAGAGAATAACAGGGTGTAACGGCCTAAGAAGGCAGTTCATTGCTTGTTCCAAGTTCCTTTTCCACTACTACAAGATGGGAGGGTTACTTTCGCCTGCGCTCTCGGTGAGCTGAGTTAACAGTAATTTTTCTACTCGAAGACTGATAAAAACGGTCTTATCCTCCGAATGAGGCATTTCCGGCTATGAAGCGCCGATGCCACAAAACGCTGCGCTATAAGCGTTACTCCTGAACATAGCGCCGATCTCAGTCCCCTCAACTCTAGCGAATATTCTTGCAGAAGCTCATGATGAGCCGAAAAGTCGCATGGCCCACAGAGGTTTTCATTCTGAAGGCTGACATGGAGCCCTTATTCAACCGTGTTCTCAAATCTTCGTAAATATTACAGTAATCAGCGGCCCACTCCGGTTGAAATGTAGCTGTTGGTAGATTCTACTGGAATTTTGATTACGAAACACTTTTATGCCTCAGCACGAAAGCCGTGGCCGCTCGTGTCGCCTGGTGCTGCACCGCAGGTGCCGGCGCCGACACATCCAAAGGAATCCAATTTGTTCAAAACCCCTCACCAGGAGTATTTCGACCTACTGAAGACAAATATGCTGAGTGCGAGCGTCAAAACAACCTGTGGCGCAGGCGCCAGTGCAGCGGACGTCAGGCACATTTGTTTCAAACCGATGTTCTACTCCTTTTCATGGGAAAGTTACCCTCGTGGGCTAAGTTTTGGGCAAATACGCCGTAGAAGAAAATTATTGATTGGATCCGACTGGAACTCCGGAGCTTTCGGCTGCGACTTGTAAGTAGTGCTGGTGTTTCGTTGTTCTCTAGAATTTGTTCGAAGAACCAAAGAGCTTTTTGAGTAATGTGATTCGCATAATGTCACAAAGTCACTGCGCATAGGGAAATTTCTTTCAGAATACTTTTGATAGATAATCTTGCTTTCTTCTCTATCCAGCAATTCGATGTCTCCTGTATATTAAGCTTCACAACCGACAAACTTGCTCCGGTGAACCATTGTCTCAGAATTACCTTTATCGCGTAATTCCACCCAGCCGCCGCGTGCTGGCGATCCATTGCAATCCAGCTGACCAGCTATAGCAACTGTCTGCTGAAAGTCAAAATACCTCGACAATACAATGGTGTGGCCTTGTTGCAGTAAAAAGCAGCAGCAATCAAAAGAAGTAGTTCCATCCCAGTACGGGAAACTCACACAGTCTGAAATAGAACTGGTCCTTTTCTATGCAGCGTAGGAAGGTAATACTACTATTAAGAAAAACATTCCAGGATTAAATGTGAAAGAACTGTGACTCCGGTAATTTGAGACGTGATCTGCAGAGATCGTATAGTGAGAGAAGTTAGGTCTATCTACGTTCAGTTCTTTCCTCTCTAGGTCTCAAGTACTTCTCTGCTGCTTGCTTATTCTTGATAACATCTTGGTCAGGCCGCGAGCTACGAAGTCCTATACCTCATTAAAGCATACTTTTTTATCTCCTCAATGCATACTTTTGAATAATACGTATCCATATCATCAACCTGCCAGGGAAGAGAGGGGGAGAGGGGCAGTGCTTGGTCGGGTGGATGCGATACCGCCCGCTCCCCCCCCCCTCGCTAAAGCACTATATAGCTACGAACCATTTCTGATCTGATAGTCTGATAGTTGAAATGTGTAACTGATCTCTGACCCCCCCCCATTCCTCCCTGAAAGTTATAAAAGTTGTAGGAATCCGAGAAAACGTAGTGTGGTGGGAGATAGGATGGGGAAGGAGGTCGTTCCAGAGGAGGAAATTCGACGGAAGGGAACTTCTGCTACCTTACCGTTTTTACAGTGGCGGCTTTGTCGATCTGATTTTAACGTCGCTCACCCTGTACTTTAGCACCCTAACGTCTTTCCATGATTCTTTCAGTTACGTTCACACGTAGAACCTTCTCGGCTTTCGGTCAAAAGAACTTACATTCCATCTCTGTTACGGCTAGGTCAAGGATCTCTCATTTAGGGGATTGTAGTGACCGGGGGAGTAGGGTCCGCTTTCTGAGAAGGAGCTCGAGTATTGTGTGACAGATGTGAGTGAAGGAAAGAGAGGGTCAGCATCATTTTTATTTCTTTCATAGCCATAATATTATTGTTGTTGTTTATGATATAAATAATTATAAAGGTTGTCGACCTTAAGTGAAGCATGAACAGAAGTCTGGAAGAAAGCTTTGAATTTAGGGACAGAGAGGAGAGTCGTACCAAGCATGGAGATCAATCACCGATGCGATAAGATGCCAACTGATAAGACTGTGGGTCAATTTATAGGGATGTGGAGCGATAATGTGGTACCCGGTCCAAAATGCTACGATGCTATGTAGTGGGAAATGGCGGAAAAACGAGTTCGGACAGTTCCCCAGTAGGCATATTGACAGCTACGGTAAGTACGGCTGCATGTATCGTCCTGCCAGGCGCATCGATCTTAATCGTTCTTAAGGATTGCGCAGATTTCCTTTAAGGCCTCTCAAGTTCGAGCAGGCACTTTTATCCGCTCTACTTCTACGTAAAGACATACTTTGAGAGGAACTGAAACTCGGCGAATGCTTCTCTCAACGAGTTTGGGGAAGTGTCGAGACTTATATGGGGAAGTGTCGAGACTTATACCGCTTCTTGTACTCTTATTCATTGGGTTTTTTTGAAAGTGAGGTTGTTCCTACCGCTGTGCTAACCCTCCCTCCCCTGCCCTTGAGCGCTTGAGCGGTATCGTCGTCTAGAGAGGGTAACAGCAGACTGTTAGCTTATCATTCGCGTTAAGTTGTTCTCCAGTGTTCCGACCACTGTACAATCGAGCTCTTCTTACGCAGTCTACTCGGGCCATGTATAATCTGCAAACAAGCTTTTGTCGAGCCAGAACAAGTGTGTGACCTGTCTAAACAAGCATAAAACGCAGCTTCTGGAAGCGAAAAAGTGTGGGTCACCGAAGCTTTATTCCTTGCTTCGGCGCTTCAGGCTCTTTTTGGCGCGTATCGGAAAGTTTCAACGACCGTCGGGCCTAATCTCCGAAAATGGGTATAAAAACATTAATGTCTATCAAAAAGACGTATGGAAATGGGTCGAAGGAGACCAACCAGATAGCGTGACAATTCATAAAGAAAAATATCTGTCGTTGTCAAAATGGCTTTCCCATCGTTTCTATGCAAAGTGAAGTATAATTGTGACCATACGAAACAACAATGGCGCTAAGTGTTCTTCAGCAAAAGGCCATAATTGAGACCCTTAATGGACGCGTAAGCACAAGGCATAAGCAAATCATTTTCACTGTTTTGCAAAATTATTTTAACTTCCACATTCAACTACTACTTCGACAGTTTCAATTTCAATTACCACATCATAACCTCCAAGTTCACGCGTACAATTCCTAAACTCTTTTTCCAGAACAACTTGAGCCCATCTCCTTTCTCCACCGCCAATAGGAGCAGAACTCCATTTTAACTCCGAAAGAATCGTATTAGCTCCCTTGGTACCCAACGTTCTAGGACTAAAAGACATCACGAACAACAAAAAATTGAAAAACGACGATATAAGAAAAAACGGTGGATGGAGTCCGCAAGCGTGATTGCAATCAATCTCGCGGTCTGGTGTTTTGAAACACTACATACTGTAGCAATGTCGCATCGGGACCTGCCCCAATAGCACCTAGTAGTAGGGCTAGACAAGACAAGAGGATTCCCGGTCAGCAGTACACAGTACTAGTGCGGATGCGCTTATCAGGGCAGATATCGGGTCAGCAGCACATAGTAGTAGTACCGCTGCGCTAGGTTAGGCTGCAGCATAGAAACGTTCGGCTGTATTTGCGATTACTGTGACATCATAGTGGAACTGTTATTCCCGCCTATTCTGCTCATTCGCGACAGGACCAGCTATAGTCCCGTCGTGAATGTTTGCAGCACGACAGAGTTCAGCACAAATCTCGTCCCCGGGCTGTACTTGTCATTAGTGCCCGTCTGCATACCTCATCAGACGGGCGTGTTAAGCCATCAGGAGAGGGCAGACTCTTTACCTGTTGCTCCCACAGCTATGGAGGAATTTGCAACAGTTTCTGCGAAAAAGGGAGCGCTGCAGGAGACTTCTTCAGAAGGCTCACTTTCTTTCTCCCCGAATCAGATCTAAAAATGTGCGCGTTCCCTACGAGAGTGAAGCTGCCGTGTTTCCTGTGTAGTTTTCTCCTCTTCAAATCTATTTTTCAAGAGTCACTATATTTCATCTCTCAATGTTCAACTGAACTGTTACATGCGTATTTGAATGATTACCTTTTTGGATCCTACTTTTTCTGTGAGGTGTTTGCTGTAATGATGCGTAAATTTCTCGACTGTTGAAAGACTTTTCAACACAACCTCTGTGAGGTAAGCGATTTCTGCCTTCTTCGAGTGATGTGAAAGACAACAGAGTCTCGGAGCCAAAAGAAGGGCAACATGAATTTGGAGAGAAGTTAGCACGAACGGTTCAATTATCTTGAATTCTTTCGAGGGTTGCGAAGATTCCGACATGCACACTGGTATCCACTTTTGTTAGTTTTTGAACAAAAAGCCTTAACCAATGGTCAGGGAGCTAGAGGAATATTTTTGAGATCGGGACGTGCTTGAACTCCATACGAGGTTGCTATTGTTAACTCAGCTTTCTTTGCTTACATTTCGACGAAATCTTGTTTTCAGAGCCTGAAATGGTTGAGGCACTTTATGACTACAAGACCAATGTCCCCACTACCCCACTGAGGTTCGAGATCAGTGCAGTAACACTAAATCTTGAGAAGAGCAAATCACTGCGACAAAGTCCATATTTGAATTTCTCATTCAGTGTTACCATTGGAATGTCACCCCTATGTGAGACAAAGGCTTCGTGTTATTGTGAGGCACTCTTCCCTATCATTTAATTTCAGATTGTTTTATTGCTATAAGCAGTTGGAGCCGTACTTAATTTGCGGCCACAGCGGCCGAGGCCACGCAGCGAGCTCATACTTATCGTGATAACTTATTTTTTTTTACTTTCAAAACCATCCGCACCAGAGATTGATAAGAACGCTGCCCTCACATCTCGGGAAATTTTTCAGGGAGACAGACCTGTGATCGACTTAGCTCCGTACCCCTTCATCCGTTGTCAAAAGCCGACTCCATTCATGTCCAGTGGGCGCGGCACCATTACTAATGCGCGTTCCTCACTGGTGCCTACGCTTCCGGAAGGTGAAACGCACCAGTGATTGCCCTACTGGCCCGGTTGCCTTAATTTGACAAAGGAACCGTACCCCAAGTTATGCTACACTTTTTAATGATGACAAAAAGCTTTCAACCCCAAGCCCATGAATAGACCGAAGAGAGATATCGCGGCAAACCAGACCACCTTTATTTCTTCTCCTAAGGCTGCGTTTATACTTTGCGGCAGCGTAGCGTAGCGCTTCCAGCGTACGCCAGCGGCAGTGCCGGGGAGAGGATGCATATCGATCTAGCGTTCCCAGCGTCACCAGCGCTAGCGTTACGCCAGCGTTTTGCTAGCGTTT